AATGCAAGTCGTACGTTTATATTCAGGCAATTAAAGCTGAATAGCAAGGGAAGTGACAAGCTATAAGGGGAATTTAACAACAGTCAGGTAGTTTTTAAATATTTTATTACCACTTGCCTGTACCGTTCAGTATAACATTTTGCTCCAAGGAAAAGTATTTGTGTTTTGGTCTTACGATTAGTTCGATCAAGCAAGTGAATCAATTAGGTATATTCTTTCGAACTAAGCATAATAATTCAGAGAGATTACACATTTTATAGCTGCAAACAACGTCCTAGTAATTGATAACCCATAAATTGTGAAATGTAATTACTTATTTAGGGACTGTAAGGATATAACCCGGCAAACAAAGTAAATTTCCGGCACTCCGACCATTCTGAACTTTTACTTTTCGGGCAAGAGCGTTTTGCCTTTCGGGAGTGCAGTTCAGCTAACTCATTTCACAATTTGCCAGCTGAAACGGTTTTAATGTGAAAACTTTTGCGGCAACATTGTGGCAACACGAAAAGGTAGGAGCTCAACAAATGCGGCCTGCCAGACAGATGGTGCTGGGTTCTTGGCTCCCAGGAACCCTGCATCCACATCCCTGCATCCCGGTGCTGGCTCCCTGGCCCATGATTAAGTTGTGTAGAAGTTGAGCAGAGTTCAATTTGGGGCCAACAATGTCCGTGGGCTGCGAGTGAAAGCGAGTCAGTGGGACAAATGCAATCAGAAGTACAATAACATTTGCCGGAGCAATTGGTAACCCAGTCCATATAGACGTATGGACTATACGAGTATATGGGCTCAGTCGACTGGCGTGTTTGCGGAGAACAAACAAAATATTGAATATGATTTGCTCACACATGTGCCCGCTGCTCACCCAATCAATAAAGTCGAGGGGAGCAAAGGGGCTCGAGTGGAGATGTAAATAGAACGCCTTTCTATTCCAATTTCCCCCGATGGATATGGAAATCGAAAGCGCTCTATGCAAATCTCTCTCCCTCGTGTCGCCTTTTCTACGCATTTTCACATTGCCACAATGGATTTACATAAAAATGCACTTGATCTGCTTGCCTTCGGTTGGTGTGGATAGATGCACATGTACGTATCTACGGATATATCTCCATTCAGCTGCCAGCGCGATTTATTTACACTTGGTGATGAGCTCGTTCCTCATCCGCTCGCCGTGTTTGAGCTTGTCTTACACCAGTGGGAAAGCTAATCGGCTTTGCCTGGGAAAACATTTACATACGAGTACATATGCCCAATGTAGTCCCCTAAATTTGCATTAATTCCGGTCTTGTCACGGCTAGCTTGGGCACCGCATGATGGGTATTTTTTAATCTGACACTACGTTTAGGTTGGGGATCCTATAATTTGTACCAAATCAAATGAAACAGTCCATTGCCCAACTTATAATATGCTAACAATATGCTTCACAATGAAAAACTCATTAAAAGTTTTCAAATGTTCCGCATTCTCCAGTTTGTTACGCTCACGACGCAGAAATTCCCAACGGCTTCTAGTATTTCGTTCTCTGAGTATACAGATGATTCCTGTTGCGGTTTAGTTTTCCTTACGCCGACAATCGACCTGGAGCTTGGTTGTTAGTAAAAGATACTTTTTAGATGCCTCAAAACCAAGCTGCATGCGAAAACCTCTAGCAAAACTTCCATTTATCATATCGATATTAGCATTTGATATTCGGCTATGAAGCGACATCATTCAATGGGCTAAATTAACCATACATTTCTCTGGATTGAAAGTCCTTGTACATAAAGTTAAAGTCGCATATCAGTAATTCACTTGGCAATGTCAGCGAGGTTTATGAAGTGCTCCCCTCGCTTATCACCCGACCCCTGGTGAACTAATTAATTTCTGGCCCACCTCCCCAGGTGGGCAGTGGACGCAGTGGAAGCGGGTCAGTGGTGGAATTACACGCTCCGGATTACACCCTAAGCCGGAGCTTTGTGCTTCCAGGTTGGCCAGTGCTGCAGTCTTGTGCGGCTCCATGCGCTCTAATCCCCTTGCATGTCATTATGGCTGAGCTGTTGCCTAATTGCCGGACCGCTGGGTAACTGGATGGGTAACTGGGTAACTGGGCAAGTGGGCAGCTGGAGGCAGCGGCTTTAATTTGCTGGGACTTCAGCATGCGCACATCAATAATAAATGGCTGTCGGCAAAAGTTGTAAACCTTTTTCGGCACTTATCTGTCACACGTCACACGGCGCCAACATCATTTGTCAATTGTCATGGCTTCTGGTTTAGCTCGAAATGGAACTGGAACTCGGCCCTTATCGTCTCCGAACCCGTTTCCCCGGGTTCCCTGGGCTGCTCCCAGTTAATTTGCAAAAGCCCGCAGAGAGATAGAAACACAGAAGTTCGGTGTTTGCCAACGCTTCCTTTCCCTCGTCACGCTCAATTGTTAAAAATGACAACTAATTAATGTCTGTCCACCCACCGACCAGCGTTTCTCTGTCCGAACACCAGCTCCTTGGGCCGGAAATCGAAACTCTCTATCTGTGCTGCCAAGTTGCAGAATCCTTCGGCCAACTCGATTGGGCTTAATTTGAGGTCAACTGGCTCGGAATTTGAGAGTGATTTGTCGGTTTAAAGGTTAATGGGCTGAGGTCTGTGGGCTGAGGCTCAGGAAAACTTTCGGAGGACTGAAGCTAAAACCTGGACGATAATCAATCAAATTACCTTTTACTTTTTTACCTTCTACAGGAGAAAGTCAATTAATGGTAAGTGATCAATGCCTATGAGTTATTTATAGGTATATTTTGTATGCACAATATCACTTAGCTGAATGTTCTCATCTTATAGTTAATCATAAACTGTATCCTTGAAGATTGTACAGTCATATTATAGACAAAATACCATCTTTTGTCATTCCTTTAAGAGTCCCCAATCCGCTGCTCAACCTGGAATCCATGCAAAACAGCGTCACAAATGAGTTCATTAGCGCGCTCCACTCGGAATCTCCTTTGAGGAGCCGCTGAATCCGTCGCCCGGTCGGTCGTACTTATTAGTTAACCATGCCCGCACCCTGCAAAGCAGTTCCACATCCACTTAGTGGAGATAAGTACCAGAAATGGGAGGCAGATGGGTGGCGGGAACTCCCGCACTGCACAAATACCGTCATTAACTTTGTCTCAAGCCGGTCGCCCGGCAGCGATTTCATTGTTTTTGGCTTTGGCTTAAGCCCCCCAGATCCGAGCCTCCACTTGGCTCCCAGTTCCACCCAGTTGCTCGTCCTCCTGCTCCGGTGCCTAATGATTCGCACTGTGCCTCAGCTTAATGACAGCAAACGGGCAGCAACTTTTCAAACTGCATTGGGTGCATTTTCCGGCCGTCCTTCTTGTGCCCGTCGAGCAGGACATGTGTTCGAGCACTTGGACTCGCCCCATTCCTGCTAAGTTGGCCACTTCCCATTCCCATTCCCATTCCCATTCCGATTCCCATTCCCACTCCAATTGCCGTTTCTGTTTGTGCCGCCTAATGCTGCAATTTGTAGACCGCTGGGTTTATTACGGCCTGCGGCTGCTGGCGAGGAATGAGCGACACTTTGGCCCCAGGGGTTCTCGCAGCAGGTCGGCAGGGTTAAGAACCCCACTTGCATATAAGTTTTCACAGTTGGGCTCAAACATTTAGTTATAGAACAAGCTTTGACAGGCAAAGCGCCACTGCAAGAATGCCCATTTAGATGTATAAAACCTAAAGCCATTTCCATGTGATACATCCTCGCCAGCTCTGAATACCCTAATGCTGGAAATAGTTCCTTTTTGCTTACTTTGCGAAATAGTTGAAATATTCGCATGTACTGGGATACGGGAAATTACGGAAAGTTCACAACCCGAGGGTGCTATTCGTGTGACCACATCCGTCCAAATTTCCACATGCCATATTACAGCCGGGCGCATAGAGGACTTGCTTTGGGCCTGGCCAGAAACTTTCGGCAGCTGGCAAGTTGGCGACATTTTCGACTGCCAAAAACTTTGCGAACTTTTGCGCCATGGCTGCGAGTCCGCAAAGTGCTCGTTCCGCTTTGAGTGGAGTTCATTACGAATGCCGCGTGTTGACTTATGCATAATTACTGTTTCCTCGGACCCGGCAGCGGCGGATACCCTGCATCGAGGGCTCCCCCGATGTCCTGGCTCGGCAGCTCCCAGGACCCCACTTGGCGCAAGTTTTCGGACCCGCTGCACTCCAGTTGGGTCATATGCTCATTTGTGTGCATGACGCACTGACCTGTTTCTAATGCAACAAAAACGTTAAGCGCCTGCCAGCCACTCGCAGTGCAGTCAACTGTGTCCTCTTGGCTCAGAGAGCACAGCCACCCACTTGAGCGCCGCGCCCGGCCGACCAGGAGCGCCCCAAATCCCATTCACCCGCATACCCAGCGCCACCCATGTTCTTTGCTGCCTTGCAGCCGTAGCACACTTTTTTGCGCTGTCTGCTGGAGAGTTTATTTTACGCACGCCTTGACCAGACGGCAGACGGTCAGGCGGTCAGACGGAGGCGGATGCAGCCTTCCACTTTGGACTCCGCAGGCAAGTGGAAAAGTCAAGCGGATAAACAAGAGATTAAAATGTCATAAACAATGCTTTTTGCCACTCCGGCCAAGCAACTTAATGAACGCCGGAAGAGTGGGTTTCCTCCGCTGCAGTGGCAAACTTTCAACTTCATGTTTTGATCTGAAAGCGGAGTATCTCTCGAAAACCCCATCGATGCAGCCCAATAAATTTCCATTAAACTTTTGATTTGTTTCCACGACTTTTTCGGCCCTGCAAGACCAGAGGATTCAATTGAAATTGTTTTCGAAACGAGCTACACAAAAAGTTGTTAACAACTATTTGGATACCAGCCCATAAACGGGTATTTTGCCTATGTGACTATGTGCGTAATTCCTGATCGAAATCAAGTCGATCTAGTCAGACAGATATTTACACTCATCGTATCTTAAGCTGGTGACCTATTACATCGAAATCTGCAAAGGATTGATGGATTTTCTCTAAACATTATTTATTATCGCTATAGTCATTTCCATTATTTCGAACATTGAAAATATTTATCTGTAGGGCATACGACCATTGACTTCTCGCAAGTAAAAACCTTTAATTTGTAACACAATTGGAAAAAAAACTTTATTTTCATTTGCCTGCGAAGGGGTTTTGCACAAATGACAAACTATCATACAGAGGCATAAATTAGTCTCGCAAACTATAAAACACTTAGATATACTTCAGATTAGATTTACTGCTCGTGTACACACACACACACACACTCGAACACACACATGTGCGTCTTTTAAAGTTCCTTCGGTAAACGACATTTAGGGGCTATTCTAAATGAAATACTGGATGCCAAGTCGCTGCAAGCAAAACCTCGGGCAATTTTCGGCGACAAGAATCAGCAACGCTGTGATGCTGAACGTAAGCTGATCTTTGCCGGCGAAAATTACGGATACGATACAAATTGTGAGGACTAATTTCCCGGTTATGTGTTATGTGAGTACGGTATTAAGTATTGATTCGTTTACATATACATGTGGATAGACTGAAGGAATAAAGGAATGAATATTGAGTGCGCATTGAACAATCGAATAAGGTGTAAGCCGATGAAGTGGGCGGTTTAGTCGGCGGCGGCATTGATGGTGATAGTCTTGCCCTTAGGATCGTCAAAGCGGTCCATCGTGTTGATGTCCATCATCCAGCAGACGCCGACGAACATGATGACCAGCAGCAGGGCGACCACAAACAGTCCCATCAGGATTCCGGGCGTCACGAAGCCCACGCAGTCCCAGGAGTCGCCGAAGGGGAAGTTCTCCTTGTACGAACCATCGAAGGGAGCCTGCAGCTGCAAGGACTTGAAGCTCAGGGTGTTGTACATGTTTTTCTCGGCCGCGGAATCGAGGGTGAGATTGCCGCACGAATAGGAGAACGTGGTTGGGGCATTCACGCCGCTGGAGCGGAACTTGATTTGGTCGTAGACCAAATTGCTCAGACTAAAGTATCCACCATCATAAACAATGTCAAAGGAGATACTCTTGCCGGCTTCAGACGTGTCCATAACAATGGATAACTTGGTAGAGCTGGTGTTGGAGAGCTTGAGGTCTGTGACTGTGATGGGATTGCCATTGAATTGCAGGGCAGTGTAGAAGATCTGAAACTGATTGGTCGATTTCCACATGGTGCCGCCGGTGGTGGCGGCTGTGTCACGACGGGTACGACGCTGCACCACGGGAGCGGTGGAGGGGGCAGCCAGGTACAGATAAGCCACCTTGCACTCGAACTGCTTGCTGATAGCGGCAATGGCGGCGTCTAAGGGGGTTTAAGCATGGTTAAATTAGTGTGTCTTATTGAGTACTTTAATGTTGACCCACCATGTGACTCTAGACTGTCCTCCCGGCTCTTGGCGGCATCCTCGAAGGTCACAAAGAGCGCCGTGCCCACGGCACACTTGGCCGGGGTGGTCAGCCTCCCGCTGGCATCAATGGAGTTGTGCTCCCGCTTGGCGGCCACCGAGCGCAGCGCCTCCGAGGGGTTCTCCACGCTGGTGTAGTAGGTCTTCGGGCTCACTCCTTGCAGCTGGGCGTAGCAGGACTGCGCCTGGGAGTTGGAGCACAGGAAATCCTTGTTGCTCAGCTGGGTTTGGGAGTACACAAGTGTCACAAGTCTAGCTATCTAAGTGGCTACTCAAGCACTTACGCCATTTTCCTCGAAGGCCACGACCATGTGATCTTCCAGCAACTCTGCCAACTGCTCGGCGAACTCCGCCTGGGACACCGTCTTCAGGGAGGGCTTCGCCACACTATAAAAAGGGAGAAAGGCACTCGTTACACTCACATTCAACTGGTTAGGGCGCACACCCACCTGTTGGCTCCCCACAGAAAGACGGGCGTTTGCTCCGCCACGGCAGCCCCAATGACGCACAACGCAATCAGCGATTTCCACAACATCGCGCTGGATTCGCTTACTTCGGTGGGGGTTTAATGGAAACAAAGGAGAACGAAAAAAGCATAAGTAAGGAACCAAGGAGAACACAAGAGGCACAAGAAACGAACCGAAAAGTGAACTGAAACTACAAACGAAAAATGGTGGTGAAAATTTTCGCTTTGCCTTGCACGACGTCGCCTATTCCAGTGAGAAAAAAACCTTATGACGGTCATGTGATGCGGACCAGCTGACCGCAGTGTGGCCTAAAAATACCAAGACTTTGAGATTAGGAAAATACTGGAAATAAATGGTTCGATTCTTATTGCTTTTTGTAAAGAATAAATGAATATTTGTACGATGAATTGGCCCTAATTGGGTTTGCTTAATTAATACTTTAAGGAATATATAATTTGTTAAAAAAAGGTTCACAGCGTTGCTATCACTTAGCGCGGGCACCCACCTTTCAAACTGGTTCCACTTGGTAGTGGTTCCGAAAATTCCACATGTGGATTCTATAAAAACTATTTGTTTATTCTTCGCACTGTATAATATTAGTTTAGTTTCAAATAAAAAAATAAATAATTTTGTAAGTAATGTAATTTCGGAGTAATGATTTTGTTCAACTTCTATAACCTAGTATTTTTAGGCAGTGCTGCCACGGCCACACTGTCCCAAGGAAAAACAAAGTTTGTTATGATTTTACTGCGGGAATTCTGTATAAAATGCGTCATTTGAGGACCTGAGGATGCGCTTGCGCCGCCGCTGGCCGCGAAGGATGCGGCGTGCCATGGAGCAACTGCGACTGCAATCCCGCCGGAAGCTGCTGGCGCTCATGAGTGAGTTCTCTAGCTCACCTTTCCTATTACTTAACAAATAACTATTTTTCGTTCAACTTTAGTGACTGGAGGACTCTGCCTGGTTATCTGGATAGTTGGCAACTGCTTGTCCGCATCGGAGGTTGCCGAAACCGGCAACTTCAGCAGCTCTTGCACTGCCATCGATGCGGTTTACACGTGGGTCAATGGCTCGGATCCCACCTTTATTGAGGACATCCGCCGATTCGATTCCAAGTACGATCCCTCGCGGTTCGACGACAAGAATGAGCTGCGGTACTCTTTGAGATCGCTGGAGAAACACGCCGCGTGGATCAGACATGTCTACATAGTAACCAACGGCCAGATTCCCAGTTGGCTGGATCTCAGCTACGATAGGGTCACGGTGGTGCCCCACGAAGTGCTGGCTCCCGATCCCACCCAGCTTCCCACCTTTTCTAGCTCGGCCATCGAGACATTTCTGCACCGCATACCAAAGCTGTCCAAGAGATTCCTCTACCTCAACGACGACATATTCCTGGGAGCGCCGCTGTATCCAGAGGACCTGTACACAGAGGCGGAGGGAGTTCGCGTGTATCAGGCATGGATGGTGCCCGACTGCGCATTGGACTGCCCCTGGACTTACATAGGAGATGGTGCTTGCGATCGGCACTGCAACATCGATGCCTGCCAGTTTGATGGAGGAGACTGCAGTGAAACCGGACCAGCCAGCGATGCCCACGTCCTCCCACCAAGCCAAGAAGTGGTCGAGGTGGAACCTGTCGTTGTCCCACAAACACGAGTCCACCGATTTCCTCACATGGGTCTCCAAAAGCTGTTCAGGCGCAGCTCTGCTAACTTTAAGGATGTTATGCGGCACCGAAATGTGTCCACACTCAAGGAACTTCGTCGCATTGTGGAGCGCTTTAATAAAGCCAAACTCATGTCGCTGAATCCCGAGATGGAGTCCTCCAGCTCCGAGCCACTGACCACCCAGCGCCACGGGCTGCACAAGGAGGATTTTAAGTCTTCCACCGATATTTACTCCCACTCGCTGATTGCCACCAATATGTTGCTAAATCGAGCCTATGGCTTTAAGGCACGCCATGTTCTGGCGCACGTGGGCTTCCTAATCGACAAGGATATTGTGGAGGCTATGCAGCGACGTTTTCACCAGCAAGTTCTGGACACTTCCCATCAGCGCTTCCGAGCCTCTACAGATCTTCAGTACGCCTTCTCTTACTACTCCTTCCTGATGAGCGAAACAAAAGTAATGAGTGTAGAGGAGATCTTCGATGAGTTTGACACTGACGGTTCGGCCACCTGGTCGGATCGAGAGGTGCGTACCTTTCTCACTCGCATCTATCAGCCGCCACTCGACTGGTCTGCCATGCGGTACTTCGAGGAGGTGATTCAGAACTGTACTAGAAATCTGGGCATGCATTTAAAAGCGGACACAGTCGAACACTCCACTCTGGTCTACGAGCGATATGAGGATTCTAATTTGGTTAGTGCATATAATTATATCTTACAGAATTATATTAATAGCTTACTTTACCTTCTTTAGCCTACAATAACCAGAGATTTGGTTGTTCGATGCCCACTTCTGGCTGATGCCATGGCATCAAACTTTGCTGTCCGACCCATGTATAACTTCCATGTGAGCCCAAAAAGAACTTCGCACAGCAACTTTATGATGCTTACATCGAATCTCACGGAGGTGGTGGAATCACTAGACCGATTGCGTCGGAATCCGCGCAAGTTCAACTGCATCAACGACAATATGGATGCCAATAGAGGCGAAGACAACGAGATGGTGCGTCATCTGCTCGAGGACTTTTACCTCTCCTTCTTTCCGAGACGCAGCAAGTTCGAGCTGCCGCCGCAATATCGCAATCGGTTCGAGTCCTGGCGGGACTTTCAGCGCTGGAAGAGAAGAAAGCGGGCCGTCCTGGTAATTGGGTATGGAGTAAGTCTGCTGCTGGTTGTCTGTCTGCTGCGATTTATGTGCCTCCACAAGGCCAAGTTAGTGAGGCGCTGTGTGCAGCGCTTGTAGGAATCGTTTTCGTGAAGTTCTCTCTCTTCTGCAATGTTGTGATATGTTGTGAACATTTATGTAAATTGGCCATTTCTGCAAGCGATCATAGTCAAATCTAGTTGTAGGCCATGTGTAAGGCTATTTTTCTAGTTCTTTAGGTGCATGCTAGAGGCTACGTGCAAGAATAGTCGTTAAGAATGGATACGTAGTGAAATTTTGTAGAATATTTTGTTAGGCTATTGCAGTCGAACTGCTTTGTGTTCAATTTCATATAATTTAAGTTTTTATACTGAGCGGCGATAGCTACTATTTTTAGTTTTGCTTTACTATGATATTTGCGCTCTCAAAGTACTGAATTACCAGAGGCACCCTAAATAATGTAAAACCTAGTTTATTTCTGTTGGAAAAATTCGTAAATCGATCATTTAATAATAATACATATTGATATAAATTCAATGGAGTTTATTTAGTGATATTTATAAATTTTCCTAATGACTGTTCTTCATGCTGAACAAAATATACCATTTCTATTGATTTCAAATGCTCTAGAAACTGCAAACATTTATTAAATTAGTTTTTTTATGTTCATTGGTTGGCTGCTGTCCAAACTACAGATTGCTGTCAGCACTTAGCACCGGTTCCGGGGTGCCGGGGTCCGTACTCCGTACTCCGAGCTCCGGATTCCCCGGCGCGTCGATGATTACCGCAAAATTTGACCACCCGCTGAGCGGTGGGCGTTGCCGAACAATTCACTGGTGGCTCTCAAGCACTCTAACTACGTCATCACATTTGCGCTCGGTTTTTTACGCTTACGGTCAGGGGCCAGTGGGTGGTTAGTAATTACGGCCGGGAGCCACCCAGGTCCGACTTCCCTGCTTCGTCGGTGGAATTATGGCCACAAAAAACCCAGACTCCGCACTTTGCGGCCCGGAAGCCGGTGGGCGGAACTGGAGCGAGGCCAGACAGACTGACACGGGTCTCCTTGGTCCCCTTTTTGGGGGCGTGGCACGAGCTTGGGCAATAGCTCCCCAGTGTCGTGTACATATGACGATGATTTGCTCTTTTTGCGAGGAACATCTTGGTTTTTTTATTATTCTGCCTTCATTGGATTTGCCATTTTATTTCGCCAACTCATGAAAAGCGGGCCAGGCTGGGAAAGTAGTGGGTGTAACCTATCCGGATGCTGTGGCATAAATTGCGTCCGCCGTTTTTTACCCCACTGGCCGCAAATCCGGGCTCGAATCACTATATCGCAGTGTCTCAGCGGGGGCTCCCCCACTCCCGTTCTGACTCTCGATGGACTAGAATATCAATTACCCAAAACAGCAGCTCGGATCTTATCTGATCCAATCCTTTATCAATTATCTGCACGTGTGTCCAGTCTACGGGCCTGCAAACGTGTCCCTAAATACAGGACACGTAGGCCCAGCCATTTTCTGGCCTCGTAACTCATTCTAAATGATCTCTAGTTGGGCCACCCAGACACTGGGATTCATGCTGAAATACGTGCACACGCCACAATTTGGTTTATTATGGCTTTTCGTGTTCCCTAATCTCGATCCCCCGATTTATGTGGTCTGCCACAGAGCGGAAGTGACTGTGGTTGTCAGAGCTCGGTTCTTTGATTAATGCCGGATCGTTATGCCAAATTATGCAAAAGGTAAGTTGACAAAGTGTGTGGGCTAAGAAAATGTTTAAAATTGTTAAACATTGTGGGGATGCGTCTATATCCTGTTGGTGCCATTGAAATGTTAGGAACGCATTCTTATACGAGCATACATAGTCTCTTAAGATCCTTTTATTACAATTTTATATATTTTAAAGCTGATGCTGTCTTGGTGAAGTTCACTGCAATCTTCAGTGGATACTTCCTGTTTCGCTTCCCAGCCAACCATGGCCATCCCACACCAAACCCTCAGAAGTGCCGACGCTCTGACCGAATCCCAGACAGTTGGACACCCGCTTCTAATATTTTCCTTGGAAACGTTTAGCTTTCTAGGGGATGGAGTAGGTGAATGTAATATATTTATATTTAATTGGCTGGCACGAAGTTGTGGACACATTTTGACAAACGGCTTCCTTCGTGACCAGAAAGTAGCCGCGAAAAGTCTTTTGAAAATTGATCAATTCGAAAATGCATTCTAATAATATTTTCGAAATGCATTATTCCATTTTTGCCTACTGCATTATTCATGCGGTCGGCACTTTGTTCGCTGAACGTTGCTTATGCTCGCAATAGTAATAGTCATAATCAAATTGTTCGAATAACTGCCGCCCCCACGGGAGGGCGAGAAGAGGGGGCGTGGCAGCAGCGACATATATGAAAATGCAGTATAAACAAAGAATTAAGACATTAAATCGCTCATTGCGGCAATTTACATTCATTATTATGACGAGCTCACCGCTACGTGCCCATAAGCCATGGGAATTGGAATACGGACGGACGGCGACGGACGGCGACGGACATCGGTGGACAGAACCGGCGACACTGCCCATGGAGGCGGGCCGATCGTGGTGCAGGGAGGGGCAGGGAGGAGCACCTGGATGGGGCGACAGCCAGAACAGCCGCCCCTTGCATGCCTTATGTTTTGATTTGGGAAATTAATAAAATCATAAAATGGTAATTAATTAATTCGACGAGCAAACGAATTCACTGGGTGCAGTGACGCGGGTGAGGGAAACGTACAGTGTTATACCCTGGAAGTGACGAGGTACATACAGAAACATACTTATTATCCTTTAGTACTTACCCCGTTCCCACAATTTAGTTTCAAAGCTTCTAAAAAATACTTTCAAGTGGTGAGTGGTGAGAATCCAAAACTGAAAGACTGGTGTAAAGTCCTATGAAACTCTATAATAAGAACTGATTTATAAACCCTTTATTTTAACTACACTACCAATATACTAGATGTTTGATTGTTTTTTTCCCATAATGCCAACTCTTCATTTTGGAACTTTTCATACTGTTCCCTGACATTACACTTTCCCATTTGAAAATATATGTTCCTGTGAGATGGAATCCGAATACGCCCCACTTGCTACCGATCCGCATTGCCCCGTTCCCAAACTCGAATGACCAAATGCAGTGCCGCCGGTAGCTGCCGCCTGTCCGCCCTGACGGATCGTCATCGCAGTCCGCGGTCCGCTGATTAGGGATTCAGGTGCGTGAGTGCATTTCGTTTGCTTTTTTCGACTCCCTCTTCAGCGGAATTCCAGCCGGCGGAGTGGCTGTGGGTGCCCGATCGTCCGTCTTTGGGGGACTGACAGATCGCTTGGCTACGCCAGTGGAACCCCTCAAGACTCTGGACGCCCGTACTCCCCCCAGGCGAAACCCCCTTTGTTTACAAGCCGTTTACATCGCTGATTGCCGCTGATTGTCGATGAGTGGCTGCCAATTCATGGGCAGTTAATTCATGGAGACATTCCCGCCGTCTTGGGCCGCTGACAAGTGCACTTTAATGAGTCGTCCTCGGTGCCTTTGAAGGCCTGCGAGCTCCGCTGTTGATGGCCATGGCAACAAACTTGCCGCAATCCAAGCGCAGCCCGGAGATCCAGGCCCGGAGACCCGGAGACCAGGAGCACTCCTCTCCGCCACATGTGTGCCTTCCAAAAGTGGGCGTGGCCCGGCCTTTTGACAAATTATGACAGCGCGCATTTCTGGTTTGATTTATGGACGTCCGCTTAAAGCCCTGCATTCAACTATGACCCCCTTTCGCTGCTCACAGGATCCGGATTTGTATCTCAACCCGGCAAATGTTCTCCTGTTTTTTAATGATTTTAAAGTGATTTTTAACGTGCCGCCTTACGGTTGCTTAACTACTCTGTGCGACACAAATCCCCGCGTAATTAATGGCGATATAATTTACAACAAAGCCACTCCGGCAAGAGGCGAAAAGTGCTATACATGGAGCTACATAGAAGCAATCGGAGGTGGCTGGTTCTATTCCTGCGGATGATGCGGTGACTCGGTGACTCGGCTGCAACGAATTGCCAATGCACTGCAGTGATGTGGGTGCGATGATTAACTTTACGGACTCAAATTATCCAATAATATATTCTACGAAATGTGAGGTACTTTTATAAATGTAGGGATTGTGTATTAGTTCTTTTTGTTACACACATCTATTGCAGCGCACTCACTGAGCCAATGTGGCCTAACCCCGATCCTGCGGCTGCTCATTTGCCGCAGAGTCAGCTTCCATCACCCATCGCCCAGCTACCAGCTTCCGTTTCTGGATTCTGGATGCCAGAGAAGAGAACATCGCTCGGCAATCCAGCAGCCGGCAGCAAATTGCCTGCAAAGTGTTGCAATAATAAAAACCCATGCTTGGAGGCGTGTCCCAACATAAAGCTGCGATACACGACACACGAGGGTGATAGTTCCCAGTTCGAGTCCCGTTCCCTGGGGTGGTTTTCCTCCGTTTTGGCCTTTCGGCCGGGAACAATTAGGCATTTGCGGCGGAGAGGGGCGATCAGGAGCCAATAAGTCGCTAATGCAATTAAAAACTCACACAAAGCAGGGGCTGCTGATGCTAATAAGTCATGAGGGAAGAGTCCTGGAACCAGGATGCCAGTCAGCCCAGTCAGCCCAGCCAGCCCAAGGAGGCGTGACACGTGAGACACCTGGAGTGATTGCTGTTCCCTGCTGCCCTCTCTTTCGCTCGCAGGACTCTCGGAGATCCTTGCCCTGACGCTCATTTCGTGACAATTTGGTGCGTTAAATTACAAAAATTAGTCACAGATAAGTCGACCCGAACTCGAACTGAATGCAACGCTCGATTTTCGACACTCGACTCCAAACGGCCACTTTGGGCCGTGTTAAATCGCACAAATTGGCAGTTTAATTGTTCCAATTGACATCGAGGCGAGATTTGTGCCCGGAGTCCTTGGAGTGGCCCTGCTTCCGGCTGCTGGATGGGCGTGTTTCTGGGCCGGCCGGATTTATGTCCCGTCATGTGGTCAGTGGCACAGGGAAAACAGCAATCGTTTGCTAAGAAATCCACTGAATTGAAAGTCAGAGCTGGTAAAGTAATACACATCGGCTTAAATTTGATTTTTCGTTTGTTTATTTACATAAAGAAAACTCGGCTCGCAGACGAACTGCCTCCACAGGTATTTACACTCGCAAGCTTCAGGAGCCCGACTCCATCAATAGATGCTCCTGGCGAGGGAGAGGGGCGTGGATACCCCCAATCCGACTCCCACGCCTACTCCCAATCCCACGGATCCGCCAGATGTCTGTGAGGCGTTGGTGGAACCACTGAATTTCTCGAAGCCTCCGATCGCCTCCGCCGAGAGCTTTTTGCGCAGATCCGGTTTCGGTCCGCTGAGGCACATCTTCTCCAGCTGCTGGTGCTGGGACCGCACGGCGAAGCGGTTCACGTGCACGGGAATGGGCACCACAATCTTGGTACCACTGGTGCTGCCATTGCGACCCAATCCGTGCGAGGT